GAGGAGCAGTTGTGTATGTATGGGTTCGGAGTAAATCTGAGTCTAGAGAGAGGGAGAGGGAGAGACAGGGAAAAGAAAGAAGGTGGGGGGTTTGTTTGTGTGGAGGCTGAAGAAGAGGATTTGAGGTTTTCATGGGAATCCCTTAGATGACGTGTAAGATCTCTCAACCGTTGGATTCGTGAAACTGGCTCGACATCTGGGCTGTTCGTATTTTCCTTGTTTGGGTTTTTGTAGTTGTGTCCGAGTTGGCCGCTAATTTTCCCTTTTTCTTTTCTTTTTTTTTTTGTACAAAGATGGAGGCCAAAAGGCCTAAGGCTACGATACTAGCACTCGACGTGGGTGAGCCACACCACGGAAGTCGTGATCAAGCCAAGCATTCAACCCTTGGGGTGGTGATGAAAATCTCTGAAGTCCTAAAGGGGAAGAGGCCGCTATAGTCGCCATGTGGTCAGCCGCAAAGTTGGCTTCTTTGTGTACGTGCTGGATCCGAACATTCTAACCTCTGCCCACAAAACTTCTAATGGAACTGACTAAAGATTCGTGGACACCAAAGTGTTCTATGGGTCCAAGTACCATCTGCATCACACACTTGCTATCCGTTTCAGCTATAATTTGTCTGAACCCCAGCTCCCATGCAATTTGTAGGCCCTGAAACAAGCCCCATAGTTCGGCCCCGGTGATAGTGTCAATACCCACATTCATAACAAATCCCTCAATCCACTGACCAAATTCATTCTGAAGCACTCCACCTGCACTACACATACCCGTGGAACAACTGAAAGCACCGTTTGTGTTTACTTTGATCCAACCCAGGTCCGGTGGATGCCATGGAATCATGCGTAACATATGAACTGCAGCCCCCACCTTCACATAAGTCGTTGCCGCCTTCTCGTATACTTCTACACGACGGAGCACATCTAAGTAGCGAGGCTCGCTACCGAGACTCCGACCACAAAAAATCCTCTCGTTTCGAGCCTGCCATGAGCTCCACGCCCCAAACGCAAAGATACTATGCCAATTTTTAAGCCTGCACATTGGCGCCCCTCCTAAATTATTCCTTAACCATGGCCGGAGCTCCATATGAAAGAAGTTGCCCTCCAAACCGGGCGGGATGAGTTTACGCCACACTGTTGGGTTCTGTTAGGAACGTCAAACAACATGCACAGTATTGAACTTTATC